TTGATCCGGCAATTATTGTAATGTTTTTTTCCAACTTTTTGTCGCACGAACTTTGTAATTAAATTTTACGAAAAAATGAGGCGAAAGACACCTATTTTTTATTTGATTATTAGGAAGATTAATGTCAACAGTTTCTAAAAAGGTATCACTCATTGGCATTGAAATTCTAGTTTGATCCAAATTTTGGGGGGATATGTGACATTTTCACCCCCCTTTTTGCAATATTTTATGGTAAATAAATGCAGAATGTTGCCATGGATACACATAGAAGGAATTATATTTCACCCTTTTAACTTTTGAAAATCAAATCTATGGAAGATACTGATTACATGCATATGCACATGTACAATACAAACAGTTAGGTTAATGTATTAGAAATCCAGGAATAGGAGATGATAAAATATTTTGTGGTTTATTTTTAATTTTATTTTCTAACTGTGGAGTGCTACCTGACATTCCGGCGTTACTCGGCAAATTCCGGAAAATACACCTCGATGGTACGTTTTTAGTGAAAAACATAACAAAGTAAGGTACAAAACAATTATTAGGAAAGAGGAAAATATGTTATGTATAATGCAAAAAAAATAATGATATAATAAAATTAAAATTGAGAATGGAAATGGGGAATGTGTCAAAGAGACAACAACCCGTCCGTAGAGCAGACAACAGCCGAAGGCCACCAAAGGGTTTTCAATGCAGCGAGAAACTCCCGCACTCGGAGGCGTATGCATTTGTCAAAGTTTCCAGCATAATTTAGAAAGTTACTTTACAAATGTTGACCTTTCCAAACAGTGTTCATTATGTTTTGTTGAATTTTTTATCGTCAATATAAAAATATTTTATACTGTTGTTTTTCTCCTCTGTTGAGGCATATGATAGAAATATTACATATCGAATGTATTGCATTTGGCGTCCGAACCGTAAACTTTTTACTTTTTGAACTTCTACTGGAGAACCACTTAAAATGATCAATATATTAAACATATTTTTCTCCATTGTTGAAGCATATGATAAAAAGATCATAACATGTCATTTTTCATATCAGATGTATTATCAGCCCTCGGTCAATATCAGCCCTCGAGCCTTTTCTTTCATGTAAATTTAAAGGGGGTGCAGCGCTTCTAAATGTAAATGTAAAAAACAAAAGATGTTGTGCAATTCCCGATGCCATAATTCACTCACATGGTCAAACAAATGATACAGAACTATTTTTTGTATTTTGCAAATAAGGTTTATTGTGTGGTCATTGAATACAAATTCTATAGTGTGTATCAATGCTTATTTCTTAACAAAATCAATACTGAATTATTGTACAAGTTAAAAGTGAATTGTAGTCAAATTTTGTACAAATTGTAATTTGTACAAGTCCTTTTTGTACAAATAACAATTTTTACAAAGTCAAAATACAAATTATAATTTGTACAATTTTTTTGTACAAAATTATAACTTGTACACAACATATATACAGATATTCTTATGTCAAAGTTAACAGTTTATTTACAAGATAAAAAATCTACGAAAACATTATGGAACAAAATGTTTAAAATTTTTAAGGTTGCAACCGGGTGCGGGATTTTCTCGCTGCATTGAAGACCCATTGGTGGACTTCGGCTGTTGTCTGCTCTTTGATCGGGTTGTTGTCTCTTTGACATATTCCCCATTTCCATTCCCAATTTTATCTGTTAAATAAAATTGGTTACAGACGGATTTATTTATCTATTTTTAGGTTCCCTTTTGTAAAATCGTTCGTTATTTTAAGTCTCCAGTCTGTGGGTGTTGATAATAAATGTAGAAATGTAAATCCTGAAGTGCGCATCGAACATGTCAAAGTTTACTTGGTCCGCTGCTGGAGATAGATATAAGAAGATGTGGTATAAGTGCCAATGAGACAACTCTCCATCCAAGTCAAAATCTATCAAAGTAAACCATTATATGTCAAAGTACGGTCTACAACACGGAGCCTTGGCTTACACCGAACAACAAGCTATAAAGGGCCCAAAAATAACTAGTGTAAAACTATTCAAACGGGAAAACCAACGGTCTAATCTATATAAAAAACTAGAAACGAGAAACACTTATGAATCACATAAAAACAAACGACAACTACTGAACATCAGATTCCTGAGGACTGTTAATCGAACATGTCAAAGTTTACTTGGTCCGCTGCTGGAGGACTGTTAATATAAGCATAAGGAGATGTGGTATGATTGCCAGTGAGACAACTGTTCACCAAAGTTCAAATGAAGTGGATGTAAGCAATTATAGGCTATCGTACGGCCTTCAACAATGAGAAAAAAACATACATTATACAAGGCTAATAAAGGGCCCCGGCATGAAAATGTAAAACAATTCAAACGATAATACCAACGGCCTAATTCAAAATAGAACAATTTACGAAAAACTAATATGACAGACATGAACCAACGACAACCACTGAACTATATGCTCCTGCCTTGGGACAGGCACATACAGACGTGAACCAACGACAACAGCTGAACTACAGGCTCTTGACTTTGGGGCAAGCACATAAAGACGTGAACCATCGACAACCACTGAACTACAGGCTATTGACTTGGGGCAAGCACATACAGACGTGAACCAACGACAACCACTGAACTACAGGCTATTGACTTGGAGCAGGCTCATACAGACGTGAACCAATGACAACCACTGAACTACAGGCTATTGACTTGGGGCAGGCACATACAGACGTGAACCAATGACAACCACTGAACTACAGGCTATTGGCTTGGGACAGGCACATACAGACGTGAACCAACGACAACCACTGAACTACAGGCTATTGACTTGGGACAGGCACATACAGACGTGAACCAACGACAACCACTGAACTACAAACTCCTGCCTTGGGACAGGCACATACAGACGTGAACCAACGACAACCACTGAACTACAGGCTATTGACTTGGGACAGGCACATACAGACGTGAACCAACGACAACCACTGAACTACAGGCTATTGACTTGGGACAGGCACATACAGACGTGAACCAACGACAACCACTGAACTACAGGCTATTGACTTGGGACAGGCACATACAGACGTGAACCAACGACAACCACTGAACTACAAACTCCTGCCTTGGGACAGGCACATACAGACGTGAACCAACGACAACCACTGAACTACAGGCTATTGACTTGAGACTATATCAAACGTCTTTTCCTGAATATACAATGACACATTTTCATGGTACGTTTTAAGAAACAGCAGTCAAGCAGCTGATTATGATCTATGGTATTTTGCATGTTTTGCTTCCCAAACAAGTGGCTCTAGTAAAGATTAATTCAAACATTGCATCGAATGCATCTTATTCTGTACGTTACATATTTTGAATTAAAGGGGATATATATATTTTGTAATCAGCAGCTGCTTACCAAGAATGTAGACAGATAATCTCTTAAAATCCGATGAAAAATCTACCAATTGTTGTACTTTTATTTGTTTTGTAACCTTGAGAAAAATATTAACCTGCAATGATAATTGTGATCAAATGCCACCAATCAAACACCAGTTCAAGAACGCATGTCATTGGCAGGATTTTAAGAACATAAACATAACCAATATTAGATATCAAAATTAACCGTATATTTCCAACAGTTGGATCACAAAGTCATAACGGCCAGTCTGACAGTGGAGATTGAATCACAAAGTCATAACTATGTGATATTTCCAATGCAAAACATCTTACCATACTTGAATCGCACTTTTCACTAGTGATAGTCAAAACATTCACCCTTTTCCTCAATTCTTCCCACAAAACAATGAACAATACATTGTTTTGTTATCCTCAAAATGCACGGAGGAATTAGACTTAAAAAAAAATGACTGAATATTTTCGTTTTATTAATATCTAACATAAAAAACAAAAAATGTTGAACCAATGACAACCACTGAACTACAGGCTATTGGCTTGGGACAGGCACATACAGACGTGAACCAACGACAACCACTGAACTACAGGCTATTGACTTGGGACAGGCACATACAGACGTGAACCAACGACAACCACTGAACTACAAACTCCTGCCTTGGGACAGGCACATACAGACGTGAACCAACGACAACCACTGAACTACAGGCTATTGACTTGGGACAGGCACATACAGACGTGAACCAACGACAACCACTGAACTACAGGCTATTGACTTGGGACAGGCATATACAGACGTGAACCAACGACAACCACTGAACTACAGGCTATTGACTTGGGACAGGCACATACAGACGTGAACCAACGACAACCACTGAACTACAAACTCCTGCCTTGGGACAGGCACATACAGACGTGAACCAACGACAACCACTGAACTACAGGCTATTGACTTGGGACAGGCACATACAGACGTGAACCAACGACAACCACTGAACTACAAACTCCTGCCTTGGGACAGGCACATACAGACGTGAACCAACGACAACCACTGAACTACAGGCTATTGACTTGAGACTATATCAAACGTCTTTTCCTGAATATACAATGACACATTTTCATGGTACGTTTTAAGAAACAGCAGTCAAGCAGCTGATTATGATCTATGGTATTTTGCATGTTTTGCTTCCCAAACAAGTGGCTCTAGTAAAGATTAATTCAAACATTGCATCGAATGCATCTTATTCTGTACGTTACATATTTTGAAATAAAGGGGATATATATATTTTGTAATCAGCAGCTGCTTACCAAGAATGTAGACAGATAATCTCTTAAAATCCGATGAAAAATCTACCAATTGTTGTACTTTTATTTGTTTTGTAACCTTGAGAAAAATATTAACCTGCAATGATAATTGTGATCAAATGCCACCAATCAAACACCAGTTCAAGAACGCATGTCATTGGCAGGATTTTAAGAACATAAACATAACCAATATTAGATATCAAAATTAACCGTATATTTCCAACAGTTGGATCCGTGATTTTGAGAATATAAATTTACGGCTTTTGTTTAGGAAACAATTAAGATGAATAAAACTCACTGCTTGACTCAAGCTAGCGAACAATTGTAGCGAACAATTAGCTAGCGAACAATTAGGAGGTATGACTAAAAACCACAATATCACATAAGACAAACACGTTTTTTCGAGTTAGCGAACAATTACAAATACCTAGCGAACAATTATGAGAATACATACAATCTTAAAAAAAAAAAAAAAAAAAACTATCTTAAGTTAATTTTGGACATATTTATAGAGATTGTGACGGGCAACGGCTATACAGCTGTTGTAGAAGAGACATTTGCGCATCGTTTAAGAAAATCTCCAGAGTGGTTTATGTTCGAGAATCTCAAGTTACGGTTAACAAACGGAAATTTTGAAATTGGCAAAATGAAATTAGGGGGTAGGCCAATTTAGGTTAATTTTGTACCCATTTATAGAGATTGTGACGGGCAACGACTTTATAGGTGTTATAGAGGAGACATTTGCGCATCGTTTAAGAAAATCTCCAGAGTGGTTTATGTTCGAAAATCTCAAGTTACGGTTAAAAAACGGAAATTGTGAAATTGACAAAATGAGACTAGGGGGGGGGGGGGGGAGGGGGGGGGGGGGGGGGTAGACACATTCAAGTTAATTTTGAACCTATTTATAGAGATTGTGACGGGCAACGACTATATAGGTGTTATAGAGGAGACATTGGCGCATCGTGTAAGACAATCCTCAGAGTGGTTTATGTTCAAAAATCTGAAGTTACTGTTAAAAAACTGAAATTGTCAAACTGTCAAAATGAGATTAGGGGGGGGGGGGGGGTACACCAATTTAAGTAAATTTTGGACCCGTTTATAGAGATTGTGACGCATAATGACTATATAGGTGTTGTAGAAGAGATATTTGCGCATTGTTTAAGAAAATCTCCAGAGTGGTTTATGTTCGAAAATCTGAAGTTACGGTTAATAAACGGAAATTGTGAAATTGACAAAATGAGATTAGGGGGGGTAGACACATTTAAGTTAATTTTGGACCTATTTATAGAGATTGTGACGGGCAACGACTATATAGGTGTTATAGAGGAAACATTGGCGCATCGTGTAAGACAATCCTCAGAGTGGTTTATGTTCGAAAATCTGAAGTTACTGTTAAAAAACTGAAATTGTCAAACTGTCAAAATGAGATTAAGGGGGGGGGGGGGGGGGGGGGGGGGGGGGGTCCACGAATTTAAGTTAATTTTGGATCCGTTTATAGAGATTGTGACGCATAATGACTATATAGGTGTTGTAGAAGAGATATTTGCGCATTGTTTAAGAAAATCTCCAGAGTGGTTTATGTTCGAAAATCTGAAGTTACGGTTAAAAAACGGAAATTGTGAAATTGACAAAATGAGATTAGGGGGCTAGACACATTTAAGTTAATTTTGGACCTATTTATAGAGATTGTGACGGGAAACGACTATATAGGTGTTTTAGAGGAAACATTGGCGCATCGTTTAAGAAAATCTCCAGAGTGGTTTATGTTCGAAAATCTGAAGTTACTGTTAAAAAACGAAAATTGTGAAATTGGCAAAATGAAATTAGGGGTAAGCCAATTTAAATTAATTTTGTACTCATTTATAGAGATTGTGACGGGCAACGACTTTATAGGTGTTATAGAGGAGAAATTGGCGCATCGTTTAAGAAAATCTCCAGAGTGGTTTATGTTCGAAAATCTGAAGTTACGGTTAAAAAACGGAAATTGTGAAATTGACAAAATGAGATTAGGGGGGGGGGGGGGATACAGCAATTTAAGTTAATTTTGGACCTATTTATAGAGATTGTGACGGGCATCGACTATATAGGTGTTATAGAGGAGACATTGGCGCATCGTTTAAGAAAATCTCCAGAGTGGTTTATGTTCGAAAATCTCAAGTTACGGTTAAAAAACGGAAATTTTGAAATTGGCAAAATGAAATTAGGGGGTAGGCCAATTTAGGTTAATTTTGTACCCATTTATAGAAATTGTGACGGGCAACGACTTTATAGGTGTTATAGAGGAGACATTTGCACATCGTTTAAGAAAATCTCCAGAGTGGTTTATGTTCGAAAATCTCAAGTTACGGTTAAAAAACGGAAATTGTGAAATTGACAAAATGAGATTAGGGGGGGTAGACACATTCAAGTTAATTTTGAACCTATTTATAGAGATTGTGACGGGCAACGACTATATAGGTGTTATAGAGGAGACATTGGCGCATCGTGTAAGACAATCCTCAGAGTGGTTTATGTTCGAAAATCTGAAGTTACTGTTAAAAAACTGAAATTGTCAAACTGTCAAAATGAGATTAGGGGGGGGGGGGGTACACCAATTTAAGTTAATTTTGGACCCGTTTATAGAGATTGTGACGCATAATGACTATATAGGTGTTGTAGAAGAGATATTTGCGCATTGTTTAAGAAAATCTCCAGAGTGGTTTATGTTCGAAAATCTGAAGTTACGGTTAAAAAACGGAAATTGTGAAATTGACAAAATGAGATTAGGGGGGTAGACACATTTAAGTTAATTTTGGACCTATTTATAGAGATTGTGACGGGCAACGACTATATAGGTGTTATAGAGGAGACATTGGCGCATCGTGTAAGACAATTCTCAGAGTGGTTTATGTTCGAAAATCTGAAGTTACTGTTAAAAAACTGAAATTGTCAAACTGTCAAAATGAGATTAGGGGGGGGGGGGGGTACACCAATTTAAGTTAATTTTGGACCCGTTTATAGAGATTGTGGCGCATAATGACTATATAGGTGTTGTAGAAGAGATATTTGCGCATTGTTTAAGAAAATCTCCAGAGTGGTTTATGTTCGAAAATCTGAAGTTACGGTTAAAAAACGGAAATTGTGAAATTGACAAAATGAGATTAGGGGGCTAGACACATTTAAGTTAATTTTGGACCTATTTATAGAGATTGTGACGGGCAACGACTATATAGGTGTTTTAGAGGAAACATTGGCGCATCGTTTAAGAAAATCTCCAGAGTGGTTTATGTTCGAAAATCTGAAGTTACTGTTAAAAAACGAAAATTGTGAAATTGGCAAAATGAAATTAGGGGGTAAGCCAATTTAAATTAATTTTGTACTCATTTATAGAGATTGTGACGGGCAACGACTTTATAGGTGTTATAGAGGAGACATTGCCGCATCGTTTAAGAAAATCTCCAGAGTGGTTTATGTTCGAAAATCTGAAGTTACGGTTAAAAAACGGAAATTGTGAAATTGACAAAATGAGATTAGGGGGGGATACACCAATTTAAGTTAATTTTGGACCTATTTATAGAGATTGTGACGGGCAACGACTATATAGGTGTTATAGAGGAGACATTGGCGCATCGTTTAAGAAAATCTCCAGAGTGGTTTATGTTCGAAAATCTGAAGTTACGGTTAAAAAACGGAAATTGTGAAATTGACAAAATGAGATTAGGGGAGGGGGGAGACACATTCAAATTAATTTTGGACCTATTTATAGAGATTGTGACGGGCAACGACTATATAGGTGTTATAGGGGAGACATTGGCGCTTCGTTTAAGAAAATCTCCAGAGTGGTTTATGTTCGAAAATCTGAAGTTACGGTTAAAAAACGGAAATTGTGAAATTGACAAAATGAGATTAGGGGGGGGGGGGGATACACCAATTTAAGTTAATTTTGGACCTATTTATAGAGATTGTGATGGGCAACGACTATATAGGTGTTATAGAGGAGACATTGGCGCATCGTTTAAGAAAATCTCCAGAGTGGTTTATGTTCGAAAATCTCAAGTTACGGTTAAAATACGGAAATTTTGAAATTGGCAAAATGAAATTAGGGGGTAGGCCAATTTAGGTTAATTTTGTACCCATTTATAGAGATTGTGACGGGCAACGACTTTATAGGTGTTATAGAGGAGACATTTGCACATCGTTTAAGAAAATCTCCAGAGTGGTTTATGTTCGAAAATATCAAGTTACGGTTAAAAAACGGAAATTGTGAAATTGACAAAATGAGATTAGGGGGGGGGGGGGTAGACACATTCAAGTTAATTTTGAACCTATTTATAGAGATTGTGACGGGCAACGACTATATAGGTGTTATAGAGGAGACATTGGCGCATCGTGTAAGACAATCCTCAGAGTGGTTTATGTTCGAAAATCTGAAGTTACTGTTAAGAAACAGAAATTGTCAAACTGTCAAAATGAGATTAGGGGGGGGGGGGGGTACACCAATTTAAGTTAATTTTGGACCCGTTTATAGAGATTGTGACGCATAATGACTATATAGGTGTTGTAGAAGAGATATTTGCGCATTGTTTAAGAAAATCTCCAGAGTGGTTTATGTTCGAAAATCTGAAGTTACGGTTAAAAAACGGAAATTGTGAAATTGACAAAATGAGATTAGGGGGTAGGCCAATTTAGGTTAATTTTGTACCCATTTATAGAGATTGTGACGGGCAACGACTTTATAGGTGTTATAGAGGAGACATTTGCACATTGTTTAAGAAAATCTCCAGAGTGGTTTATGTTCGAAAATCTGAAGTTACGGTTAAAAAACGGAAATTGTGAAATTGACAAAATGAGATTAGGGGGGTAGACACATTCAAGTTAATTTTGAACCTATTTATAGAGATTGTGACGGGCAACGACTATATAGGTGTTATAGAGGAGACATTGGCGCATCGTGTAAGACAATCCTCAGAGTGGTTTATGTTCGAAAATCTGAAGTTACTGTTAAAAAACTGAAATTGTCAAACTGTCAAAATGAGATTAGGGGGGGGGGGGGGGGGGGGGGGGGGGGGGTACACCAATTTAAGTTAATTTTGGACCCGTTTATAGAAATTGTGACGCATAATGACTATATAGGTGTTGTAGAAGAGATATTTGCGCATTGTTTAAGAAAATCTCCAGAGTGGTTTATGTTCGAAAATCTGAAGTTACGGTTAAAAAACGGAAATTGTGAAATTGACAAAATGAGATTAGGGGGATAGACACATTTAAGTTAATTTTGGACCTATTTATAGAGATTGTGACGGGCAACGACTATATAGGTGTTATAGAGGAGACATTGGCGCATCGTGTAAGACAATTCTCAGAGTGGTTTATGTTCGAGAATCTGAAGTTACTGTTAAAAAACTGAAATTGTCAAACTGTTAAAATGAGATTAGGGGGCGGGGGGGTACACCAATTTAAATTAATTTTGGACCCGTTTATAGAGATTGTGACGCATAATGACTATATAGGTGTTGTAGAAGAGATATTTGCGCATTGTTTAAGAAAATCTCCAGAGTGGTTTATGTTCGAAAATCTCAAGTTACGGTTAAAAAACGGAAATTGTGAAATTGACAAAATGAGATTAGGGGGCTAGACACATTTAAGTTAATTTTGGACCTATTTATAGAGATTGTGACGGGCAACGACTATATAGGTGTTTTAGAGGAAACATTGGCGCATCGTTTAAGAAAATCTCCAGAGTGGTTTATGTTCGAAAATCTGAAGTTACTGTTAAAAAACGGAAATTGTGAAATTGACAAAATGAGATTAGGGGGGGGGATACACCAATTTAAGTTAATTTTGGACCTATTTATAGAGATTGTGACGGGCAACGACTATATAGGTGTTATAGAGGAGACATTGGCGCATCGTGTAAGACAATTCTCAGAGTGGTTTATGTTCGAGAATCTGAAGTTACTGTTAAAAAACTGAAATTGTCAAACTGTTAAAATGAGATTAGGGGGCGGGGGGGTACACCAATTTAAATTAATTTTGGACCCGTTTATAGAGATTGTGACGCATAATGACTATATAGGTGTTGTAGAAGAGATATTTGCGCATTGTTTAAGAAAATCTCCAGAGTGGTTTATGTTCGAAAATCTCAAGTTACGGTTAAAAAACGGAAATTGAGAAATTGACAAAATGAGATTAGGGGAGTAGGCCAATTTAAGTTAATTTTGGACCAATTTCAAGAGATTGTGACGGGCAACGACTATTTAGGTGTTTTAGAGGAGACAATGGCGCATCGTTTAAGAAAATCTTCAGAATGGTTTATGTTCGAAAATCAGAAGTTTTGGTTACAAAACTGAAAATTTTATTGTTATTTAAAGAAAAATTTGAACCATTTTAATCTCATTTTGTCAATTTCACAATTTCAGTTTTTTAACCGTAACTTCAGATTTTCGAACATAAACCACTCTGGAGATTTTCTTAAACGATGCGCCAATGTCTCTCCTACAACACCTATATAGTCGTTGCCCGTCACAATCTCTTTAAAATGGTCCAATTTTTCTTTTAGAGCCCTACCCCCCTAATCTCATTTTGTCATTTTCACAATAAAATTTTCAGTTTTTTAACCGTAACTTCTGATTTTCGAACATAAACAACTCTGAAAATTTTCTTAAACGATGCGCCAATGTCTCTTCTACAACACCTATATATTCGTTGCCCGTCACAATCTCATTAAAATGGTCCAAAATTAACTAAAATTGCCCTACCCCCTTAATCTCATTTTGTCAATTTCACAATTTCAGTTTTTTAACCGCAACTTAAGATTTTCGAACATAAACCACTCTGGAGATTTTCTTAAAGGATGCGCCAATGTCTCCTCTACAACACCTATATAGTCGTTGCCCGTCACAATCTCTTTAAAATGGTCCAAATTTTTCTTTTAGTGCCCTACCCCCCCTAATCTCATTTTGTCAATTTCACAATAAAATTTTCAGTTTTTTAATCGTAACTTCAGATTTTCGAACATAAACCACTCTGGAGATTTTCTTAAACGATGCGCCAATGTCTCCTCTACAACACCTAAATAGTCGTTGCCCGTTACAATCTCTTGAAATTGGTTCAAAATTAACTAAAATTGCCCTACTCCCCTAATCTCATTTTGTCAATTTCACAATTTCAGTTTTTTAACCGTAACTTTAGATTTTCGAACATAAACCACTCTGGAGATTTTCTTAAACGATGCGCCAATGTCTCTCCTACAACACCTATATAGTCGTTGCCCGTCACAATCTCTTTAAAATGGTCCAATTTTTCTTTTAGAGCCCTACCCCCCTAATCTCATTTTGTCATTTTCACAATAAAATTTTCAGTTTTTTAACCGTAACTTCAGATTTTCGAACATAAACCACTCTGGAGATTTTCTTAAACGATGCGCCAATGTCTCCTCTACAACACCTATATAGTCGTTGCCCGTCACAATCTCTTTAAAATGGTCCAAATTTTTCTTTTAGTGCCCTACCCCCCTAATCTCATTTTGTCAATTTCACAATAAAATTTTCAGTTTTTTAACCGAAACTTCTGATTTTCGAACATAAACAACTCTGAAAATTTTCTTAAACGATGCGCCAATGTCTCTTCTACAACACCTATATAGTCGTTGTCCGTCACAATCTCTTTAAAATGGTCCAATTTTTCTTTTAGAGCCCTACCCCCCTAATCTCATTTTGTCATTTTCACAATAAAATTTTCAGTTTTTTAACCGTAACTTCAGATTTTCGAACATAAACCACTCTGGAGATTTTCTTAAACGATGCGCCAATGTCTCTTCTACAACACCTATATATTCGTTGCCCGTCACAATCTCATTAAAATGGTCCAAAATTAACTAAAATTGCCCTACCCCCTTAATCTCATTTTGTCAATTTCACAATTTCAGTTTTTTAACCGCAACTTAAGATTTTCGAACATAAACCACTCTGGAGATTTTCTTAAAGGATGCGCCAATGTCTCCTCTACAACACCTATATAGTCGTTGCCCGTCACAATCTCTTTAAAATGGTTCAAATTTTTCTTTTAGTGCCCTACCCCCCCTAATCTCATTTTGTCAATTTCACAATAAAATTTGCAGTTTTTTAATCGTAACTTCAGATTTTCGAACATAAACCACTCTGGAGATTTTCTTAAACGATGCGCCAATGTCTCCTCTACAACACCTAAATAGTCGTTGCCCGTCACAATCTCTTGAAATTGGTTCAAAATTAACTAAAATTGCCCTACCCCCTTAATCTCATTTTGTCAATTTCACAATTTCAGTTTTTTAACCGCAACTTAAGATTTTCGAACATAAACCACTCTGGAGATTTTCTTAAAGGATGCGCCAATGTCTCCTCTACAACACCTATATAGTCGTTGCCCGTCACAATCTCTTTAAAATGGTCCAAATTTTTCTTTTAGTGCCCTACCCCCCCTAATCTCATTTTGTCAATTTCACAATAAAATTTTCAGTTTTTTAATCGTAACTTCAGATTTTCGAACATAAACCACTCTGGAGATTTTCTTAAACGATGCGCCAATGTCTGCTCTACAAAACCTAAATAGTCGTTGCCCGTTACAATCTCTTGAAATTGGTTCAAAATTAACTTAAATTGGCCTACTCCCCTAATCTCATTTTGTCAATTTCACAATTTCAGTTTTTTAACCGTAACTTTAGATTTTCGAACATAAACCACTCTGGA